AAGAAATTATACGATTAATAATAACGATAATAATAATGAGGGTAACGTATAATTATCAAATATAATTATTAAAATTCTTTGAGAAATTAATAACGTGTCTATAAAAATAGAGCTTTTTGAACGATTTTTAAACATTTAATTTTGTCACGAGATAGAATGAGATGAATTAATAACATACACGATATCAATTGAGAAGTTTTATACTATTCCACACAGAGTACTCGAGTAGAACATATATGTATATCTACTTTTTAATATACATAAATTATGATTCGAGGGAAAGGCGGGCCTTGAAAAATATTTCTCCTTTTAATCAATCTCTATTTGATGAATCTATTGGGTTGGCCAATAAGTCCGTGCGGTTATTTATAAGTAACATTTATAAGTAAAAAACCGCACGGACTTATTGGCCAACCTATTATTTGATTCCATTTTACTATATATCTGCTTAATGAAATTAATAATTTCAATTATCTACCAATTATTCATATACGAATTGCAACTCATTATTTAAATTATATGTATATAGCCTTAATTATCTCACATTTACACGCACACACAATATCGTGTGCGTGTGTGTATTAATAATTATATTTATTCAAAATATTTCTTTCAAAATTAAATTTACAGAGGAATTAATTTAATCGATTAAATAATCGATCAATGTATGTATAAATATATCAGTTTTTTGATGAGTTGATTAAAATTACGTGATCGACATTTATAAATCAACTATTAAAGTCGAAAAGAAATTTGACCTGTTATAAAAAAAAATGATAATTTTATATGTATTATTAACGATTAATTTAATTTTAATTTTAATACGTGACACTTTGAAACTAAAAAAATAACTTCGTTATAATATTATTATTATTTGATGAAAGATATATGTATAATAATTTTGATTTTTAATAATAATCAAATTCCTAACTAAAACTTCATAGTTGATTAATACGACTCAAAAAGTGTCCGAAAATATTGGGGGAAAATGCTCGAAAATATATATGTATATGCTTATTATAATGTTAATAATTTTGTTGACACATTAACGCAAAAAACATTTTTATATCAAAATTAAATTGTTTGTAGCCCGTTAATAAAATTAGAAAATTAGTCCTCAAAATTCCGCCATTCCCTCGCCCTTCGTAGTCTCTCAAGTGACAGCACAACCGTGTGCGTACTCTCTTATATCGAGTGTTTGATATTAAAGAGAGTGGAAATCAAACTCAAAAAAAGACTTGATACCAATCTTTTTTTGACAACAAACGAGCCAAGTTTTCATTATCACTCTTTATACACCTCTTCATCCCCTATCTCACCCACACTTCCTTCCTTTCTTTTTTTCTTTTCCCTCTTCCTATCCCTTATCCCCTACTCCGTATCCCTTCCTCCCTATTCTCATCTCGTCACCCCCTGCCTCTTTAAATCTTAAAAATGACTTTATGTTCAAGCAGCATGTTGTCCTCCGGTGGCAATGACAAGCAAGCTCGTAAGATGTTTTCGATGGCAGCCCGTTGTCGAAACAAGGCATTTACCACCGGAGTCCCGTGGGGCACCAGTGGGGCCTTGCAGAGATATGACAAAATAGAAAGTACACTGTGGAAACCGGAGAATTCTTCGTCATCGTCCGAATCCGCCCGTTTAAAAGTGATACGAGAGCAGAGTTCGGCTAAAATGACAAGGTCGAGAATGATAGGAGTCGCGAGAAGCGAATCCTCACATGTATTATGGATCACGATGGTGTTGTGACCGCCTAGCATGATTTCGGAAATGTACTCATCCATGGCTCTCTTGCTGTCACCTAGAAAACATGTAAATAAAATAAATATAAAGAGACATTTTTGTAAACATTTGAGAAATTCCATTTTTCAAAGATTTTAAACATTTTATCAATTTTTATCAACAATTTCAAGCGTTTTAAAGATTTTTGAGTTCTAAGGAAACTTTTTAAGAAACTTGAGAATTTTAAGTATTTTAAACGTTCTGAGAACTCGAAGAATTTTAATCCTGCAACCATTCTTCTCGGCACCCACTAACGGTATACGGTTTGCGTCCGCGGCATATTAAACAACCTAAAACTATCAAACATTCATAGGTGTTGCTTGAAATCTTAACTATAAGTTTAAACAATAATAATATTAATATTAATAATAATATAATAATATAATAATATAATAATATAATAATATAATAATATAATAATATATAATAATATAATAATAATAATATTAATAATAATATTAATATAAAATTAATTTTGTAATTGTTAATTTAATCGTTGAACCTTTGGAAAATACCACACAGTCAAAATGCCGAGGACGCAAACGACCTGCATGTACGGTTGCAGAATTAAAAATATTGCAACAGAAAGTTATGTTACATATCTCTGATCAAATAGTTTTGCTTTAGGATATATATATACATATATATGTATTACATAATCAAGTGCCGATACACGCACGTATGCACGCGCATACATATATAATATTTTAAATAAAGTTTATGAAAAATTACCTATACTTGATACGCGAAACACGTTATTGTGACAGATATTGACAAAGATAAGAACTTACCAACGTAAGGAACATATTTAATGACAACACAGTGGCCCGGCTTCTCTCCGGGCTTGTAAAGAATCTTGTTGGATGTCACCACATCGTCCACAACGTTACTTTTGGAGATCTGTATATGAAATTGATTATAAATGTATGAAGATATTGTGCAATACGAAATTTACTATATGACGTGTGTGTGTGTGTCGCTCATTTGCTACAATGACTCGGAAAATAAAATTAAGGAAAAGTTTGAATGTTTTAATTTAAAATAAATAATTAAAATTTCTAATATTATACTTATAAATGCGATTTTGGTGCAATAACTGCTTGTAGAGGAACAAAAATATCTAGCTATATATTAGCTCTTTTTATTCAGTGTATTGAATTTTCATCCTTCTTTTGTAAACAGTTCAAAAGTGACAATTTTTGAGTTGTCATTGTGGTAGTAAATAAGCGATATATATATATATATATATATATATATATATATATGTATATATGAATATAGTATTATGTATAATAGATATAAACTCATTAGCATTCAGCTCTTAGTATTCATATATGCACGCACGATTTTGAGAAGAATAAATGTTTTAAATGCAGACATATAGATAAACACTTTTAAATACAGCAACTCTTATCCAAGTCAAGTTTTCGTATCTCTAGTTATATGTATAAGAGATTTAATGTTGATGTATATAAGAGTCAATTATTTTTCTTTTTTACATCATATATCTACCTCTTTTGAACGAAATTGTTGTGGCGCGGATAGATTGTATCCATCGTTGTTCCCTAAATGGTTGTAACTGACAATCGATACCGGCTTTATACCGGCCGATACCAGGAAATCCACAAGCACGGACTTGAGCTTTGTCTGACCGGATTTGAAATCATCGCCGCCGACGAATGTCTTCTGCTTCTTGGCTAGTTCAAGGGCACCCGGTACAAAAGTGTTTTGCGGCGATCCATTGATGTAAGTACACTGGAAAAATTGTTTAAATATATATTTAAAAAAGTCTACATTTCCGCCCACCACCACTTTTAGTCGTACTAACAAGTTACATAAACGCACGAAAATAGAGAGAAAGAATACGTACACGTACAGTTGTATAATTAGCTTATAAGAGAACATGTAAGAAAAAAAGAGGAAGATGTACTACGTGTGTAAAGAAAAAACTTGCGGGGCAGTACTCAGTAATAATTCTCACGTATTACCGAATATTATTACGTACTTTACTAGTCATAATTCGTATCATTTGACAATATATTTCCAGAAATATGCTTTCACCTAACAAAGAATAACTCAAAATTATATCTAATTTTTTCCCTTCCATTATTAATTATTATTATAATTATTATTAAACTATTCGTTTTTATTATTAAATACTATTATCATTATTGAATCGATTTCTCGAACTGATCGTCTGTCTTTCTTTAATCTGAAAAATTCTCTGGAAAATATAACTGTAACCTATTTTTGTGCCCTATACTGCATAACTGTGATGCCTCTATTAAATAATAATTTGGAAAACCATCTCTTATTCTTTCTTTCTATAAAAAAGAGGAATAAATCATATATATTTCAAACTTGTTCATACTCCTTCTAGAGCCGCTGCCACAGCGAACATTGTGCTGGGACTGATCTCCGAGTGATCTTCCTCGATTGCCTTCAACAGATTGTCGGCTGTATCATTGACGCCTGTTATGATCTCCGAGAATCTTTCAGTATTTGCGGTCCATAGGACAATGACTTGGTCAAGACCCTTTGCAGTTTTGAACTGCACTATGTCATTGCGAATCAAGTTGAGTTGCTCGGCCTTGGTACCCATGATGATGTTATTTGCCCTTTTGCCCTTTGTGAGCATAATCGCAAATATTTATTGTTATACTTAAAGAAATAATTGATTATTTAATCGATAAGAAACGAGTAAATGTTAATGTAACATTATTACATAAATATGCTGCTACATATACATATATACATATACATATATACATATATATATATATATATATATATATATATATATATCCAACTTTTATTTGAAACATTTTTCTTTAAAATGTATTGTTCAAGAGATAGTGAAGGTGGGCATTTAAAATGGGTCATTCTGTATGCGCGCGCGCATACACACACACACACACACACACACATGTATATTAACATACTACGTGTGCGTGTCGCGTGCGCGCGCGTGTGTGCGCGTGTCATATACACATGTGCACATCTTTTTCAAATTAAATTTAAAGATTTGTATATTGTCACAATACAAACATAATTTTATAATTTCTTACTCCTTATAGTAATATTTATAGAATATTGAGAGAAAACATTGAAAATTATCGATACCTCTTGTCTCACAGCTGAACGTGTTGTCACCTTCAGTTTTCTTACGTGGTACCATATAATGATTTTCCGTCTTGAAAAGCTAACAATATAATTTAGCTTCTTACATTATAATCAACATATTATAAAATCTAATTATATAATCTATGGATTTTGACGCATTTTTACCTTTAATTTTCTTGCATATAATGATTTTTCGTCTATCTTATTTCCAAAAAAATACATATATAATGTGGCACAATCCACAACGATAATTCATTTCTTTATATAAATTTCAAATAAAATCAAGTTGATAAAATTATACATCTATATGTATATACCTATAATGTAGTGAATTTTTGGCCATTTTCAGCTTTCTTTTATATATATATATATATATATATATATATTATGTGTATATGATATATACAGGATGATTTGATTATTGTCCCAAAAATTTTAAATTTTTCACTCGATTTGAGACAATTTTTCCCGTAGCAAAATTCTCGTCGAAGCTTATAGTTTTCGAGTTATAAAAAGAAATGGTTGATACGGGCCGAGTATAGGAGGTAGGATAATGTGACATGTAATACCGATAATTTTTTGTCGCGTCGCGTCGCGTCGCGTCGGCGCGAAAATGATGGGCTCGTATATAAGGTAATTATTTCTTTTTACAACTCGAAAACTAAGCTTCGGCGACTTGTTTTATCACAGAAAAAAAATCGCCTCAGAATCGAATCAGGAATCAGGACATTTGCGGGACAATAGGGTATTTTCGAATCACACTGTATACGAATCTAAACTTGATGAAATTAAAAATTCCATAGGATTCGATCCCTGACAATAACAATTCTGATAAATTGTTTACATTATAAACATGTTTCTTGAAAATTTAAACAAATTTAGTGCAGTGAAAATATAATTTGCAAAATAAATGTTAAAGTAAAGAGCAAGTTTTGTGAATTTGTTTTAATGCTGCCTAACGAAATAAGAAATCAATGTACATACGTAAGAAAACTGAAGATGATAATTTTACATAAATTAGTCAGATTAATTAGATTTTGCATTTTACTATTGCTTAAATAATTAGATAATTAAATTGTTGAATTTTCAACGAGAGATGGACGAAAGCTCATATCGTATGTAAGAAAACTGAAGGTTTTTTATGCGGCAATTTTCTTGGATTACTCAGATTTTATAATCCATCGTCAAGGATCAATTTCGCGCGTATGCCGTACAAGCAACGTTGACGTTCATCGAAAAACTATAATTACCTGATTCGAAGCGATGAAATCGGGATAGTATATACTCCTCCTGGGCCGCATGTGTGTCATGTAGGGCCGTAACTGCACCTGCAAGTTTACATCCAGCACTCTGGCACGCGTCATGGCTTCCGCAAGGTTTACATCCGATATATCCCAGCCGTCGATTTCGATGTCATCCGGATTTACCATAGGCAGCATACTGGAAATGGGTACACAAACGTCTTCTCCTTTGACTCTTCTGCCTAATTTCACGGTAGACGCTTGCGTCAGGGAACCGTACCTAAAACGCACATAATAAAAATGGACTAGAAAAATTCTAGAAAGTAATGGAAAATTGCATCAATAAGTTGCATGCAAGAAGAAAAGACGATAGAAATTGGAGAATGTGTAGTAGGTGTGACGACACAAGCTCGCGAGTCGATAATCATATAAGATTAATACAGGGTAGTTTGAGGTCGCGGTCAGCGGTGTACGCAGAAAGACGACGAATCTGTATGAGTAAGTGTAATCTCTCTCTATTTCAATTTTATTTTTTACATTATAAATCACAAAGATATCCTTTTCACAACTACACAATATGTAGTATAAATATATCTAATTATATATATATAACGCGATAATATAGATTCCTCTCGTGCAGTTAAAATTAATTTATAAGAATATTAATTAAACAAAAATTACAATTAAATATTTATTCCTTTGAAAAGGCTTTGTTAAAGAATGATATAAATCTCGAATAAATAAAACGGATAATAGATACGCAAGGTAGACGTAAAAAACTCGAAAATCTTATATACGTTTAATTCTCTTATATATAGCTTTCCTCTTTCAAGTTTTCATTAACTGGCCTAAGAAGATGACAAGGTGCTCGATATCCTGCTTTCAAGTCCGCGTCACATAATGGATAAATAAAGACGTACCAGTTGGCAGTTTTCACACCTTCTTTCGTCTCCCATGATAATTTAAGCTTGTTCGCCAGCAAAGCTGCTGTCACGGTGCTACCGTTGTTGCCACCCCAGCCCACTAGCATCAGCCCTAGCTTTGGGACTCGAATCATGGTCCTGATGAGCAATTTCGTCGACGTAGGTGTTACCTGCAATGAATAATCCATGCAATTAAAGCAATATAAGTAAGTATTTCAAAATTGTTTCGTATTCTTGAAAAAAATGTAACGCATTTCTCATTTTTTCATGGACTTTGTATCGAGAAAGAAAATTTTCAATATCGAAATGATATCGTTGATAATGTACGTGTTAAAATTCCTTATAATACCTATAATGCAGTCTTTAACAATCCAGTGCAGTAGATATAGTTTATACGGATATGTAGGTACACGCGATATGGATAAATATATAGCTATGCGCGCGCGTGGTGTGTGTGTGTGTGTGTGAGAGAGAGAGAGACCGTATACGTACGAGCTTGCAAGAGCCGACTTCAGGGAGACTTTAAAGAGTGATCTAGAATAATCTCACTCAACAATGTCGCTTACATATGCCCGATACATATCGAGATTTATTATGTACAACATTTATTTTAAATTGAAATTCTGTCAAAGTAAATTTCATTTGTATTATACAAATTAACTGGCGAATCTAGTTCATATTATATCGATCTTGTTACCAGTTTGATTTTTAAAAATCTAATTCGCGAGAAAACTCTTTTTTTCGATCGCTTCGTTCGACGTTGAAACGCATACTATATGGCCTCGACATCCACATCCTTATTGATATAAAACAGACGGTTCTACATACTTGATATATTAGGAAAAAGAAGACGTTATATCATTAAAAGAGTATTCCGCATCTTTTCGCTGGGGGCTCGTTTGGTTTATGCATATACGCATACATGTGTACAGTAAAGAACCGTTATACAGCGACGAAACGGCGTCGAGTTTCGTCACGCATTTTATTTTAATCATCACACATATGTATATGCAAGTATAAGCCTACTAGAGAGCTCTCGGGCAGACCCGATATCAATCAGCCGTCTAGCCGGCGTGGCGCCGCGCCGGCACGAGCATTAGTGACAACACACTCTGGAAACAACTCAACAACTGGGCGGACCGATAGATATGGATAGATGGGCAGATGGACAAACAGACAGACAGACAGACGGATGGATGGATGGATGGACGTATGAGAGAATCGATGAGCCGATAAACGGATTCTCACCGTGTAAGTGTCGCGATCGTTCCCGTCACTCTCATTGTCAGTCACCCTAGTCGTCTGATATTCGTACTCCGCCTCGATAAAATCCTCCGAGTAGCGCACCTTTGGCGAGTTGACGCGAACCTTCAAGTTCGCCATTCTTCAGGTAAATCTGCGGAATATATAACACGGCGGGCAACGTCAACACGTACGAGGCGCAAGCCGCAAGCTCAAGTACACGAGTACTCCGGTTGACTCCGGTTACTGCGGTATCCTTGAGAATCGAGGGTGGAGGATGGAGGATCAAGGATCGAGCGTCGACTGCGTCGAGCCGCCAGCGCCCGCCGCTGGCAAATCTCCTTTAGTCCTTTCCGACACAGTAGGCCGTAGGCCGCGCGAGGAGAGAATCGCTGCTTCTGGAAACTGACTGACGGTAGACACTGTTGGTTAGGTTCAAATTCGGATATTGTTATTATTCCCTCACCCTCACCTTTAAGCGCGTGCACACGCGGGCACGGAAGAATCGTCTCGAATCTAATCGTCTAGGAAGATTAACGATAAAAACAATTACTTAGGTCATCTCGAGTCTCGCGAGTCTCTTTCAGACGTGCGGCAAAATGGCAAAAACGTAAACGATCTTTAAGACTTGTTGAAAAAAATCTAAACAACGTCCATTCCACGTACATAGTATCGGAAATTCGAAACTCACCAAAATTTACCAATTGATCACGTGATATTCGCGCGCGCGATTCGCGAACGCGCACAATCGCGAATGAGCAAGTCGAGGCCGTCGAGGGTGGCCGGTGGGCCAAGTCAGCGAGCGGAAAAGAGAACCAGAGAACCGGGCGAACCGGGCAAACACAAGATACACGAGTCACAGAGATTACGCTCGGTCGAGCGACAAGCCGACGCCGACGACTGCCAAAACGTAAATCGTAAATGCGGCGTAACTGACGACACTGACGTGTGACGTGTGACGTGACGACTGACGCTAAATCGCTGGTACGTCGTATCGTCGTATGTCGTATCGACGGTAATCGACGCAAGTCGATGTCGATGGTCCTCGAACTCGAACGTGGTGTTGGCCATTGTGGGGTGGGGGCGTGGGGGTCGAAAGACTCGAAAGTCGAAAGAGGGATGGAGCATTGGGCATGGAGCCGATGGAGGGATGCGATTATGAAGACCTCTTGCAGAAACGTGCGACACTACAAGATTTATATATATATATATATATATATATATATATATATATATACCAATGTATTTGCAATAAAATAATTATGGTCTTTTTCTGGTCTGGTGTGGGATCGTGTAGGATTCTACTCAAATTTGCTGCCAGTCTGTGCGCCGTTAACATTTTGCTTACTGGGATGTCTGAGATATGTGGTATGTACATACATACATACATACATACATACGACAACGGCCGACAGCTGATAGCGTGGATTTGTTGAGATATCTGAGCAAATCTGCTGCCAATCTATTTTTATACCGCGGGCAGATTGTTTACCGGATTGTTAAAGAGAAAATAAGCGAAGCGAGGCGAAGGGTAAGGTTAGGAAGGTAGGGCTAGGGAAGGGGGAAGAGAGCTAGGAGAAAGAAGAATTCGAAACAGCTGTTTCACAGACATGATATATTAATTTGACGCGATCGTTCGATTTTCCTGATCAATTATCGCAAATGTGGGGATCCTATAAGACTCTTTCCAATTCCATGATTCGCTATCATCGTTGAATGAAGTATTTGTCAATGATGTAGTGTGTTGCGATTTTGCCGGTGGCAACAGGAATATTAGCGATATCGCCATGATAATGTGCCAAACACTGTGAACGTACTGCAACAAAGCAAATGAGAAATAAGGTTTCTGAAAGAAGAGAATAATACTTTACGCCATTTTATGATTCAATAATGAAATCTGCTTTAGTGAAAAACAAAATTACGTCCTAGAATAAAATCCATTAACCCTTTAAAATCTTTTACCACTTGTGAAATTTAAAGCTTCAAATTTTTCAACTTTTTATCCACGTCGATATAACGCGAGATATTTGCATCGCATTCACGTGCATGGTGCGTTTTTTTTTTTTTTTAACATTTCCGAAATATTCGCACGAAACTTGGTTTATAAGTACGATATACGTCTTAGAGGCGATAAAACTTTTGTAAGATATATATCTACGTGTTGTAAATATACGTACTTGATAGTTTTTCTCCGTTTCAATGAAAGAGTAAAGTAATAAACCTGTAATAGCAAAGAGCAAACCTAATAGTATCCTTTTGCTTGGTTTTTTGCATTTCTTGGATTGAAAAATACGGTAAGTGTGTGTAAAAATCTGTAACAGAAGCTGCGCTTTTATATTATACTTGTGTCAATCCTTAATGTAAAATTCTTCAAGTAATCGTGAAAAATATATCTCTGTGTGTAGTTATATTTCTACGTAAACTTCTATTACGTTCCTATATATTTTTTATCACGCACACGCGCGCGCGCGCACACGTAATATAATATATAAAAGAATATTCATCTTTATTTACCAACATTATTTTTTTTGTGTAAAATCACCCTAGATTAACAAATATTATTCTAGATTTACCGGTATGATAATACCCAATGATAGCGGTATTGATGTACTGATTAAACACATTCTGTCACGTTGCATCCCAAAAGTGATTATAAACACTCCCGTCATATGGCACAATGGTACAAAAGCAATCGGTAATTCCGCCATTGCTACCAATGTCACCCAAAATGCCAAGATACTCGAAAAAAAGTCGCTGTATTGTAAAATCTACCAAATAAATATGTCATGTCATAAATCATAAATATGATGTACTGAAAGATGTCTAGTCAATTTTAGTACGTATGTTGAACGTAATTCTCTTAAGATTAGATTAAAATGTGTGTGCATGCATGCATGCATGTGTGTGTGTGTGTGTGTACGTGTTTGTAAAAATTTACGTATAAAAACTGTCCTTAATTATTATTTATTAAATATAATAAAAATAATAGTTTCTCTCATTTTAATAAAATCGATATGATACAAGAATTTGAATTTTTTTTATAGAGCGTAATTATAAACAGGATGTGTGTGTGTGTGTGTGTGTGTGTGTGTAAAAATAAAGAAAAATTTGTAGACATACCTCGTACTTTGTAATACAAAATTGTCCGTCACTTTGATCACAGGCGTGATACAAAGACGAGAACAGCATGGTAACCAAGTACACCAGCCCTTCTGCATATAGCTTTCGTTTTACGGCTATATATATGGCTGGTACGAAAAAGATATTGCTCATGACGAGCAGCATGGCACTAATGAGAGAAATAGCAGATACGGTACTCGAAATATCGGTGCAATCCCATCCTGTGTAACCTGAGTAATTGAAATGTTATATAGCAGAAGCTTATAGTTTGTGTGCTCACATACGTCTATATAATTCAGATCTTTACAGTTCGTGTGCACAATTTTGTATAATTCAAATCTTTTTGAATCATGCACTTTTAATTGCATAAATTTTGTTTTCAAACGAAACGACGCGACGCCTCTCGTCTCAGAATTAACTTGCCTCAGTCACTGAAGTAAATTTTATTTTATACTTTTAAATCACACACTTTTTGATCAAGTATAAATAATGTAGGATGCTTTTTGTTCGTGCGTGCATACGTGCGTGCGTGCGTGTTAGCATTATTCCATTTAATTATATTTAATTGTAATTCGGTGTAGTAAATTAAAAAGTACAATCAATGGTGCATAAAGTTATGTTGAAATAATGTTACCTTTAAAACACGTGCACGTCGCATAATGAAGGATATTCTTTTGAATTTCTTGACAAATGCCGTGATTACCGCAAGGACTTTGGTCAGAAAATGTACACTTTCTGGTATGTATGTTCAGTAGTATTGACATTTTTTCGATTTGACAGGGTACAGGTGTACTATACGCGGACATAAAATATCATGTTACATACAGTACTATACGTTGTGTACCAAATTACAATATTATTTCCTATTCGATCGTCTTTGATCAATCTCGCGTTAAAGTTTCCCTATCCACGTATTCGATAGGACACGCAATCCTTTCTACAATTTTTTGAATTTTTAATTTCATATCTCAGCTTGAAATTGAATAGCTCGAATAATTTGAACAAGAGTTATTCAGGTTGAAGCACGTTTCACTTAAAATTGCTTAGGATATAAATGTTATTGTCGTTTTTTAATATAAAAACAAGATTCCACATGTAGCAGCTTATTTCTGTTTCATTTATTTTCTATTTACTACTACGCTCGTATAATCATAATTATATATAATGCCGATGATAAAAGAAAAGGAATGAATGGAAGAGAAGTAAATTATTTTGTGTATATTTAACACATTTTCAATCTTTGCATCTATTCTAATCAAATCTTTTCAGTTAGAATTTACTTACCCATACGTATAACATGTAGCAAGAATAATAATGTACCATGTGCCTGGTTGTGGATACGCTATTAATAAACTTGCGTTGCGCTTGTTTAACGATGACAAATTTATCGCTAAAGTTCCATTTTGACAAGATTTAAGGTTTTCCAGTTTGGGTATACGACCTCGTTGAACGCACATTGTTACCAAGACCGCGTGTGTCGACGGCAGCTAAAAGGATTACAAAAGTATATATCCAACGTTCGATTTCGAATCATGTCTCAAAATATTAAAAGTTTTGCTCCTCTATTCTGAAACACACCCTACTATTAACGTGCTACTTCTTCTTTTTCCTTTACTTCCGCCCTAATATATGGAACACGATATCACGTTCTCTCATTTTCAACGAGCTAATATTTTCTACGCTAACGTGAACACGTTCTCTTATCGCCGTGTTCTATCATTACACGCAACGTCCTCTATTCCAAATTTTATACGTTTTATACTTATTTTACAGTTATTTACTTTATACTAAATTTTTTCTATCGCTTTCTCATCATTCGCATCACTCGCCAGTTGGTCATGTAACGTTATGGACGCGTACATCAGTATATCTTTCGTTTCTCGTGTTATTTTTTTACTCTAAGACAATTGCGCGCGCGCGCGCGCGTAACAACTTTTTTCGGTGCACGCAGAATAAAAGTGAAGATTGAGGGAAAAGTTTGCAATAGCAAAAATGCACGGTCCCGTCAAGTTAAAGAGAAAATAAAGGAACTTGTTGGTTTTATATGCACCTGTGTATGTACCTATATATAGAGAGATGACTACACGACCATACGTCAAGAGCAAAAAAAGATTTGAAGGCGAAACAAAATTAATAAACAGTATTTTTTCATTGTATTTAATAAATACAAAATAAAGATTGATGGAAATAGTAATATATTAAATAAAAGATGACATAAAATAAAAAGCGAATTAAAAGTGAAAAAAAAAAAAAAAATGTAATATTTTGAAACTCTTACCTTTTTTACTTCCAGATGTACACCGATGTCAAGTGTACCACCAATATCTATCAACGGCAAAATATCAAACTGCGTCATCATCGGGACTAAATCAGTTAATATTAGCTTCGAACTTAACCACTCCTTTCCCTAAAATATACCGATGATAATACAGAGCGTGTTATTATGAATAACAATCAATATCATACATGAACAATGATTTAAGAAATATGATTTTCCAATCGTTAATATATTCCATACGACGTGCGTAGAAAAATGTGTAGCATATCTTAACAGAATAGATGATATCACCTGCAGAAGATAAACGGTTGAGAATGTCTCCGCATGTTTAACACGAACCAATTGATACCTTGGTATACATTGATTATCAGTCTCACTTTTCTCGTTTTTGCCTTTTTCTTGGTAAACGTCATCTCTATTGTAAAATCTGCTAGCATTGGTTTCTTTATAATACCACTTGTGTTTTATTAATTCCTCGTAAGTATTTGTTCCTATTATGGAATTAAAACTTGAAGCGATGTCCATGTATTCTTCAGTAAACGATCTCTCTACTGTCAATCTGATTGGACACTCTGAAATACGTGTTTATACATTTATATTTTATTACATTCGCCTATTTTTTTTTTTTTTTTTTACACGTTTTTTTACATAAACATACACGTACAGCTTAATATATAGCGAGATAATAAAATTTACTAAAGATTACCTGTTACATCGACTTTGACGTTGAACTCTGTAATGCTACTCGAAACAATCAATAAATAATAATAGCTATCTTCGTAAGGAGAAGATTCTATGAAAGAGTAACTAGCATTTGAGGCAAGAGTTTTAGATTCCGTGGAATGAAAATGATTAGACGTTGGCAAAACACGTCCCTTCAAATACATAGCCTCGATACAAAATTTATCAATATTACGAAAACTATCCAACGTAAAGGTGCAGTTCCAGACTGACAAACGGAAACTCAATATTCCTGACGGAATATATATCCTATAAATGGAAAAATAACTGACGTGAATGTTTTGCACTTTGTGCAAATATACGTAAAGTGGTCTGGAAAGTATAGCGCGGCATATTCATTATTTGCACACGTTTTTGTCTTTTTATTTACTTTAAGTTAGATCTTCATAACATTTTCAGATTATCTTGCACTTGTAAAATGTACGTTAAATGGCATCTACATGTATGGCAATTAAAGCACGTAGATATACATATTTTTTCTCAGTCTGCTTGAAAAAAATTTTACATTAAATATAATAAATAATAAATGCAGATAATAATTTTATTAAGACTTTTTTTACTTGTAATATGTTGTCGTTGCGGTTGTTCGTAATCTCGTTGGACGATTAATGGGGATATTTTTAATATTATCTATTTGAGACCACAGCGCTACCGTACCTATGCTGTATCGACATTTGTGTCCGAGTCCCTGAAACATATGAGTCGCGAGAATAATAAAGAGTAGATTTCGCATGTGTTGACTAGATGTTTTAATACGTGATTTATAACGATTCAAGTGTACATATCTAACAATAAAAAGGCTGATCAACATGCCTGTTGCTGAACTCTCTCGTCCCAATAAGACATATAAGCTGCCACAAACCAATCTCCGGGTTGGGGCTCATATACTGGAACAACCGTTACATTTTTTGGCTGATAACTAGTGGTAGTACGGACTACGATATCGTCATTCCATTTGGCAGACTTGTTTGTCAAAAATATTCCATTACTCGTGGAGATTACTGGATAACTACCAAACTTGATGTGTCTGAAAATTATAAGGAGTAACTTTGATTACGTAAATAATTAAAAATAATAAATTAAAATAAATAATATACTTGACAAGTGGTTTTAGAAAAGTATGGACGTTTACAAGATGTAATAATTGATTTTAAACAACGTATCCTAATAAAAGAAAAGAACCCAACTAGAAGAAAAATAGATGAATAAATTGTGGGATATTATAATTATGTGCATGATTCTAAAAGCACTTGTCAAATCTCATCATAAATAAAAGTATATAAATAAAATGTATAAGTTTTCAGAAAAGTCATACAAAATATTATTGTACTTACATATAAACTTTTCGTGGATGGCACGTGGGATCGTCCATAAAAGCAGCAAATTGCCACGTAGCTCGAAACACCTCCTTCGGTACTGTATAATGAAACATCGCCACGTCGGAATAGCTCTTGAACGAGTGAAGCAGATCTTCTTGATTCGCCTGTGGTATTACACAGCGACTCACTATAAACGAAAAGTTGATCACATTAACCAATATATCCTATATTATATTAAGGGGGAGGAGAGGGTGCAGTTGCGAACGTATAAAGCAAAACTCTCCATCCCTTTGTCCTTTTTTTCCATCACTTTCAACATATTCTCAAGTTATTGTGCGTGTGTTTATGATGTTATTTACACTTTGCAAAAAGCAACGCTTTCTCCTAAATAAATTCACTCTGAATATTATTCAATCTATTTTTTTTTTATTTTCTTTACGTGCCTTTAACCGCCCAACGATAACGTATTATCTTTTAAAAAGAGTCGCCAGAGTTTAAACAATTAAAAAAAAAAAGTGTTTTGGCGTTTCTTAAATTACGTAAATCGTACCTTCCTGCAGGAAAAGGATACATAAAGATAAAGAAAACATGATCTTACAGGAGAAGTGTTTCCGAACTGTTTCGATGCATCATAATTATATATGGCGTGCTCATATCCCTTGCAACGATTTGTTCTCTATTTTGTTGTCTATTTCAAATTAAGGGTGAAAATACAGGATTTGATATCAACATACCAAAATTTATCGATACAGAAGGTTTGCAAGAAAGTTACTTTGAAAAATTCAATAATCGATCGCTCTAATAATGCTTATTGAACGTTAAAAGCAAAATATACGTTCTAACCTCCGTTTCTACGTATCTGAAAATGACCACTTTCTATTTTCACTCCTATTTTCTCATATCGAACATGTTATTCATTCAACATAAGTATATTTAATGCATTTGAGTAAATAAGAACTTTCTGGAATTTCGAGCAGAGTATTACAGGCAAATATTAACGATAAACTTAATTTTTCGCGAAAGAATAAACATACTTGGAAAAAGAACGAACAAAAGGTTGAGTAAAATAGAACGTTGACGACACGTCGGACAGTTCCAAAGTTTCGGAGAACATGATGAAATCATGACACAAACATATATATTAAATCGTAGAAAATAAATATAAAACACTGTCTCTGCTTCACAGTAACACGTTATATATTTATTTCACGCGCATTTCTCGCCTTCTCGGTTCCCAAATGACCACAAATGACAAATATTGACACGGAATACATATGTTACATATAAATACATACTCGCGCCTCGCACCGGGCATTCGAGATTCGAGATGATGATAAAGGAGCAGAATTTCGAAAGTGCAGAAACTGTAGGTGTAGATAAACAAGTGTGAATCGCAGAAGGCCAGTATTCATAGTGTTACGTCGCGATTATTGGACAAATCGATATAAACCGCGATATAACTCTGTTCTTTTCTTCTTCCAGCACTACTACCTCGGCGTAGTGGAAAGAAGCCTCTCCTTTGTTATTTCGGGAAAGTCTGCATGCACCGACTATATCCCGGGACTGGCGAGAGGTGTCGTTGTCGGAACGGTGCGTGTAGAGACCCTCTAATCAGAGTCTGGACATCAGAAGGTTAAGGGCTCAGTCACAATGAGAAAAATAAGGAATAAGATAAAGGAATAAGGAATAAGGGAATGTCGCATCTCACTTCAGTACATGTACATTAAAGTGAGATGCAACATGCCTTATTCCTTATTCCTTTATCTTATTCTTAATTTTTCTCATTGTGACTGAGCCTTAAGTTAGGTTGTCCGACATTTTTCTGCAAAATCCTGAGAGAGAGA